CAGTCTACTTCTGACAGCAATCAAAACAACCACAAAAAATGCCTGTGTTTCCGGCTACACTTCATGACACCTAATGGAAATTTCAATTGAGTGAAGGGACTGGAACTAATTGATTAAAAAAGCTCTTTTCCCCTTTAACAACTTGGAAAGTTACCTCTTGATTTCACTAGTGATAGTTGCTGAAATCTTTTCACATTTCTCTTTTGGAACAATCTTCAGGACCTGTATTATATATCTTTAATGCAAGAAAATTTCTGATCCTTGAGGGTAAACTTAATATAGTATAAATCTATGTCAGGTAAATGTAATATATTAAAATACTACAAAGTTTAGGATAATTACAACTCCTTCTGAAATATTACAAATAGTAACTATTGCCTTAATAATTTATTGTTTCGAATAATAAAGATATATTTATTTATACAGGCAAATAAAAGCCTGGAATTGCAGCAGTCAACCTTTTATAACAATGTTGACTCAAATGAACATGACCATTGTGTTTAAGAAAAAAAGTTTCTTCATTGTCTTACTGAGGACCAGGGCCACCAGCAGCCCACCAACAGGTGATAAACTGCTCCAAAGCCCCTTTATTTGAGAACATCTTAAATCTTTTTTTTTTTACAATGCTTGATTGCAAGGAGGGGTTCTATCAATCAATACACCAGGCAGTGTCTTAAAAGAACAGACAGTGAATACTCGGATGCCCTCTATGTATGGGAGGAAGCAGCGATAAGGACTGCTAATTATTCTCCTGAAGGATTCTGCTGGGGACACAAGAATCAGAGCAGTTTATCTTCCGAGCATTCCTGCCTGTTTTTCTCTGGTCTTGGGTGAAAAGTGAGGGGCTGTGTGTATGACACAGTCCTGAGCGGTTTCAGGGCATCTATAGAAGCTGAGCCAACTGACAGTGGGCCTCTGTAGCTGGCACAGCCCTTCACCTGTGGGACCACCACGGGGAACCACAAAATTTCATTTTATTACACAACAGGTTGTATATGACGTTTGGGATTACAGGGGTCATTCATTTTTGTTTTGCTATGCATATGTATGCCTTAGTCTCCCGAGTGAGAATTGTGTGTGTATATACAATGAATTTTCATTTCTGATATTCTATTTTTCATATCCAGAAGCTCTATTTTGTTACTTTTGTATCTTCTATTTCTCACCTTACTATAATCAGATTTTTCTCTACTGTCTTGAGCACATGGAGTACACTTACAGTCTGAAATCTGATGTACTCATCTGTTAATCTCATCATCTTTGCCATTTCAGGGTTTTTTCCTGCGGACTGGCTTGTCTATTGGCTGCGGATTATATTTTCTATCTTCTTTGCCTGCCTGGTAATTACTTAAATTTGGTGCCAGTCAGTGATAATGTTGTGTTACTACGTCTTCTAGAAAGTGTTGGAGTTTATTTTGGCCAGTATTTAGGCAAATCGAAACTGGTTGGGTCCTTTTAAATCTTGATTTTAAGCTTCATTAGGGTAAATGCATTGTTAATCTAAAGTTAATTTAGCTCCACTAATTAAGACAATACCTGTCTAAGGACTCTGCCCAATATCTCTTGTGTGACAAGGTCTTTTCACTTTGGATGGGGGAATACAAGTTCTTTCTAGCCTGGGGTGAGGTCCAAGGAGTTTTGACCTGCTGCTTTCCATTAGTACTTTCTCTGTCCTTAGGTATTTTTGTTCTCATGCAATTGCGGTTAGATACCAACCAAACCCTTGATGGCACTGCTCTGCATTTCCCTATGCAGTTCCCTTCTCTCTGGTACTCCATCCTACAAATGCTAGCTGCCTCAGCCTCTCAAACTCTAATTTCTATCTCCTCCACTCAGGGAGACTGTGGGACTCTCTTTGGGTTTGGCCCTTCCAGTGCTACAGCCTGGACGTGGACTTCCTGTAGTGGGATGGTTATAGCACTCACCTTTGTTTATTTCCCTTCTCTCAGGGCCCCCAGACTTGTGCACCACACTGCCCAGTGTCTAAAAACAAATGCTTCATATACTGTGTAACCTTGTCTAGTTTTTTTTCCGGCAAATTAGAACATTGCCATATAGCACATATGTGAAGATAAATGTAGATTTCTAATCTTATATGATGAGAAAAAATAAACCCTGCCAATACTGTATCATTGAACTTGCCTTCATACTAGTCTATATCACTTCTCCAGAAACATTTATAATTTTAAAAATTGGATTGGCAATTTCCATGGTATCACCAAGTAAAATAAAATTCTTTATTTCCATTCTGGTTTTGAAATATAATATTAGTTAATTTCAACATATAAACATGTCTACATTTTTTCTGCCCCAATTATAGAAGATCATTTGCAAATAGTCTTAGGAATTTATTGGTTATTGGCTAGTTCGACCAGGCATCTTCTCTGCCTGTTGCATTTCAAGCCTGCCCATGAACCTTCTCAACAGCACTATCTACTTATCTGTCTGTATGTGACACCATCGCTTACGGTTTTGTGAACTCTCAGGGGTGTTTAGTATAGTTTAGTATTATTTTCAATACGGGATTCAGATAATCTTCTGGATTTAAACGAAGACAAAAATCCTAGAGATGCTGGAAGAGCAATAAAACAGGCAGCAAAAACTAAAAGTGAGATTACAAAATGCTTGGGAGAAGAATGGTATATAAAACAAATAGGTGGGGGGCAAATAAACAGGAGATGAAAGAGAATTGGGAAAATAATGAACAATGTTTACCATACTTTGCTAATGAGCTCATTGGCAAAATCCTACTAGGGATTCCTTCAGAAAGACCAAGGAGGTTTTCTATTTGAAGACCCCTATCAAGAACCTATTGAGAGTAATGTGGCTCTTATGGTGGAATATGTATAATATATATATATATATATATACTTATTAGCAAAGCATAGTGTATATTATTTATTATTTTCTTAGTAGGAGGGGAAGAACAGACCAAATCCTTTTCTTACCACAGAGGTGAAAAGTATCCACTATTAAAAAATTGTCTACTTTAAAAAATGGCTAACTTCATGAAATCAATAGATCACCTGTCCCCAGTCACCTGTCGCTATTTCAAGTGAAGTTTTCTGGGGAGTGCTGTATGACGTTAACTACCAAAGGTGTCCCTAACTTCATGTAATAATTCCGTATGGTGCTATCACTTTCCAGTTCATCTTGGATCCATTTTTGTCTTCATTCTGCATCATCTCTAGGAATAATAAATCCCATAAACTCACTCCGTATTTTGTCACATAGTCCTTTGGTTTATTCTTGTTTCTCTAAAACTTTCAGTACTTTGAAATTTGCTGATCAAATCTGTGTTAATTCATATTAATGAATTTTATAATTTTTTTGGAGGTACTGATAATTTTTTCTTTTGTTGTCTTAATCAGATGGGGTCTTCGTGTTCTAATTTATCTTCTTAAGGGGAAACAGAGCGTGCATTATAAATCCTGTGGGTTCTAATTATTCTGAATATCATGTGGATTATTCCCTGATACAAAGAGATCAGACTTTAAGAGAAAGGGTTGACTGGGCTCGTTTTACGGCTCTGTGACTGTGCATCAGACAAGTCAGTTGAAGGGGGACTTGAAGGTGGCAAGAACAGAATGTGGCATGGATTGCATCTGAACAAAAGGGCTGTCAGTCTAGCACTTTTGAACTCTCCTAGGTCTGCAACCAACGGAGAAAGAAAAGGTGATCTGGCCATGAAGACGCGTTGAGAATTGTCCCCAAGTGACCAAGTTCGCCCTTCAATGGACAGCTTCAGAAACCCAAAGTTTCCTTCCCTCACTGCCATAACCTACAAGCCAGGAATGTAAGGTCCGAAACCCAGGGCAAGCCTGGGGTTTAAAATCCTGCGTGTATCCCACCAAGTATTCCTTCCACAACAGAAAAGGTGGGGCAGCAAGTAGCATAGAGCTGCAAATGCGCATCACTCCTGTTTATCCTGCAAAGCCATGTCCCCTCTTTGACACCCTGAATTCAGAAACCCACCCTGCCCAAGGTAAGCCTTTGGGTTTTTCTCCCCCTTGGTGGAAATTTCTTGATTCTCTTTGAGAAAAACGTAATTCAACCTTGTTTTTTTTACTCTTTCTTCCAGAAGGCTGCTGTAGAAAACACACACACACACACACACACACACACACAGACACACACACACACACACACACACACACCACGAAAGGGTTTATACAGATTTCTTTTCTTTTCACAGTCGCTCTTTCCCAGATCCGAAACTCGAATCTCCCGGGACTGACGGTGTGTCCAAGGTGAAGGGTCCCGAGGTCCGGGAGCGCAGCCACCACCCACCTCTCCCTCCCCCCACGGCGTCCGCGGACTCCTCACGCCCCCTCCGACAGGAAAGGCACTCTTTCCCCGCCTGGAAGACGCGACAACCTGATCAGTCTATTAGAAAGATGAAAAATCGCAGCCTGGAGACCGATCTCCGCGCGGAAAGCCCCAGGGAGGGAACCGATTCCCAGTCCGGGATCCTCGGAGCCCAGAGCCCCGGGAGCGCGGAGCCCGGCCCTGCCTGGGTCCCCACCGCCTCTTCCCGGAGCTCTGCCCGGCCCCCCAGCAACCCGCGCCAGGTGACTGCTCGGAAACGCCAGCGGGGTCTGCGGAGCAGGAGGAGAAGAAGGGGCGGTGGGGGTCTCTGGCTGCAGGACACACGCACACACACACACACACACGCGCACACGCACACACACCCCGGGGGAGCCCTGGATGCGCGGGCGCCCCACTCCCTTGCGCCCCGCCAGCGCCCCGCGGGGATCCGCAGCACCGCTACCGCCGCGCCCCCGCGGGGTCCCCGCCCTGCGCCGCCCGGGAGAGGCAGGGGCGGGGCGAGGAGGGGCGGGGCGGGGCGAGGAGGGGCGGGGGCGCGGCCCCGGCGGCCGGCGAGGGCGGGGCGGCCGCGGCCGGGGCGCGCAGGGAGCAGGGGCGCAGTCTCCGTGCGGGCCCTCGCCCTCGCCGCCCGGCCGCGCCTCTCCGCCACCGACCCCGCCGGCTCGTGCCCGCGGCCGCCAGTGGCAGCGCCCGCCGAGCCCCAGGCGCCCCAGGAGCGAGGGCGAGGCGGCGGCGACGACACCGGGGCGAGAGGCCGGGGGCGAGGAGGGGCCCCGGAGCCCGCGCCCTCCCGGGGCCGGATCCTGCGCGTGCCCTGGGTGGGCCTGGCCGGCGGGCAGGGCCGCAGGTGAGTGCCTTTCCCCTTACTCGGCCGGCGCGGCGGGCAGGGGGCCGTCGTCTCGCGGGCTCACCCGGCCGCCACACCCACCTGCGCCCGAGTTCCCACCCGTCGGGCCGGGCCGCCCGCGGTCACCGCCGCCCGGAGATGAGAGGGGGAGAGGGTGGGCGGCAAGTGCCCGCCGCTGGTGCTGCAGGCGCTGCAGGGGCAGCTCCAGCCGTGCCGCGGCCAGGCGGCCCCTGCGCGGAGGGGGGCCGTGCGCGCCTGCCCGCAGGTTCCGCCAGCGCGGAAAGGCAGCTGTACCTGACGGTGCGCGATTATTTCCTTCTGCCCAGCTAGCAGAGCTGTCCGCTGGGTTTCGGTGCCAGGGGCTAGTCGTATTCTTGAGGAGCATTTGAAAGCATGTGTTGAATTTCCCAGCAGCAGAGGGGAGCGTGCAGGTAACACCTGTGGGCACAGCGAGACAGCGCCGCACCCCTTCCGAGCACCCAAACACGCGGGTCCACCACGCTGCTCAGTGTCGCTTCTCAACGCGGTATGCGTGTGATCGTGAAATTCCGATAAGCTGCCAAATCAGTTAAACTTTTTATCGACTTCACTTGAAACCGTCATTGACTTTTAGAAAAGAAAGGAAAAGGGTATTTTTCGTTATTTGTGTTAAAGACAATGAAAACATCAAAGCAAGATTACCAAACTAGAAACTGTAATGCCAATTTTTGTGATTATAGCAAGCATTTTATAGTTTCAGTGTTTTTTTTTTCTTTAACAGTTGCAGCCTTTCTAGTAATTCGTATCTCCTATGAAGCAAAGAGCAGTTTTTTGTGAAAGAAGCTTAGGGGTGTTTCTGAAGAACTTGCTTCAATAAAATAATGACCAAGTCAACACAAGCTTTTAAAACGATGGATTTTCAATTTCTGTGTGTCAATATTGGGGATTTAATTTTTTTCAGAAACACAATGAATGTTCTTTTCTATTTCTCCTCCCCTGTGGGCAGGAAAACAGACGTTGTTTATTTTTTTCTTTCTTACTTTTGGTAATTTAAAAGATATTTTCATGATTTTGCTCTCACATCACATCTCACATCAGTGAAACCTGTTTCTATGTCTGCAACCCAAGTATAATTCTTAAATAGTCCATTTTATTGAAAAGTCTTCAAATTCTTATTCCATTGCTTTTAAACATTTAAACTAGAATTCACTTTTAGAAACTCAAGTAGGATTTTTAAAGAAATTACTCATGATTTGAAAACTACTCTTATGTATGTGTATGGGATTATCATTGTTAAAATGGCTTATTGCTAGACAGAATGCTAGACAAAATATGGCATTTGCCCTGTATCTTGGCAACTGACCATAGTTTCGCTCAAGATAAGTTTTTGTATTTTTTAGATGTTTAAAATGCCTGACTATTGGAGGTTCCCTTTTAGAAGTGAACAATTGTGCAGTCATGGGACACAGTGAAAGAGGCTGGCTGTACGACATGCCATGATTCCTGTGGTGCAGGGCTTATAAAGGGTACCTGGTGCTTCTACAGAAGAAAGATGAGTCAGGCCTGGCTCTCTGCCAAGAGCATCTTTGTGCCTCCAAGTGTCTCCAAGGACCCAGAGATAATAATGGGAGCCCTCTTGTGGCAGTGCTTCTGTGTTTTTGCTACCTGTTGCTGGGGTGAGTTCAGCAGCAAAGACAAAGTAAATTCAGAGGTGGTATCAGTGGGATCCTCTTCACCTTACTCGGTAAGACAACCCACGCAAGGAAAAAGTGTTCTTTTTCTTGGGCTTATGATTGCAGAGAAAAAGAGGAATAAATGCAGAAACACAGAACCTATCCACAACAAATTCCCTGCATTAGCACACAGCCCCCTCTGGTCTGGCGCTTCTCCACGATCCCACAGAACTCATCTCCTCTTCGTTTGTATCCTCCAGCAACATCCATCCTTCAGTACCTGGAACACATTGGGGGAGTTTTGCTCCCTAAGGCATTTTAAAATAGTCCCGGCTTTCTGGATGCCTGCATTGTCCCACTCTGAATGGCTAGCTCTTTCTCAAGTTTTAAGTCATATCTCAAAGGTCTTTTCCTCAGAGATCATTCTGGATCACCTTGTCTGTCCAAAGTAGGTCGTCATCTCTTAGTCTCTCTTTTGGTCCCTTGCTCATTTCCTTCATAGTGCTTATGACAGCATGCAGGCAGCTTGTGGATTTGCATGGAGAATGCTCCAAAGAAGCAGACCCAGTCTTTGTTGTTGACTCAGCTTCCAGAACAGTGCCTGGCATGAAGTAGTGGGGGAGGTTCTTAGATGTTGATGTAAATAATAAAGTACAAAAGTAAGACTTATTTCATCACAGAGCACATAAACCCAGTAAATTTATGCATTTTATGGCTCAGTTCCTTTTTTATTTGTTGCGCATCTGGTATGTTTACACCCTGGCACTATGATTTTGACGAGGCAGAATTAAAACATTCTGAGATGTATTCCCATCTCTCAGCAGTGTAGGCAATAATGTGTTCAAAGATAAGTAGATTATAATGCACTCTTAGGAATGCAGTGATCACAACTGGATTGAAATATATTTTAAAGAAAAATTGGAGTGCATAAGCCAACATGACATTAGTGTAAGTGACTCCCAGTCTACAGTGATGACCTTATTGGGTTTAAATCTATAAATTTTTACCAAGAATTTGAGGTTCATTCAGTAATCACTACATTTAAAGTATTGTTTTGTAATAAGTACAGACACTTGGGTGAGCTGAGTTGATGAAAGTATGGTCAAATGAAGCTGAGCCTTATATCTGGCGCCCCCGTGAGGCAGGGTGGTTTTACATCAGGCTCCGGGCAAATTGTCTCACAGATTCAAAGTGTTCACCAAGGAAAGCTCAGCGAGCGAAGATGCCATCAATACTGTTGGGGGGGGAAGATGGAGTGCTTCAAAATGAATGCTGGTTAGTGATAGCACCGTATTTATGCTAGAATTCATGTGCGTGTGTGCAGATGCACACACACACACACTTTACGTGGCAATGAGTCTCCCCATTATTTTTTTGAGACTGTACTTAAAAGTGTGAGACAAACAAGAAGTCCTGCTATCAACATTTTCAGTTACTCGATCAGCTTTGATTAAGGACATTTCTTATGTAGCAAGTGACCAGCCACACTGCTGTTTTTTGTTTTGTTCTGTTCTGTGTTTTGGTAAAAAATTTGGCAATCATGTTTCTTCTTGAAGGACTAAACTAGTTCATGAATTGTCATGAGGGATTCTTTTGAATTGGTTACAACAGTGGTATGTTGTGGTGGTTGTAATGTGTTGGGGTCAGTCTCTGTACTAAAAAGGAGATGGCTCTCCTTTTTATGTCACAGATTAGCTAATTTATTCTTACCCAGAGGTATTTATTACAGCTTCCTTCTTCAAGGAATGTCATAATAAAATGGGTATAATAAGATTGTATACCAATACTTTTCATATAAAGATTTATGGGGGCAGTCACAGAACATGGCTAGACTACTTTTGTAAAATGAGAGCATAGTTTTGTTATCTTGCCCTCCTGCAAAATGAAGTTTCCTCACTGAAGGTTTATGTACTCTTCCCTGTGTATGGCTGGAAGGAAATGGCCTTAGGCAACAGGGAAAACCATCAGCTCTCCGCAGCCACAGGTAGAATGAAGTCGGAAGGAGGAGGGAATGCCTTGAACAGTGCCAGTGAACATCATCTGCCACAGACGGATTCAAATTGACATTGTATATGGAATTGAATTACTTGATGTCCTTTTAGCCCCACTGAGAAAGAGTTCTTTCTTCTTTTTCTCTTTAGAATAGCAACTGTATTTTAAGTGGAAACATGCTGTTACTGCCTCTTTTATACAGGAAATGGAACACTTTTGGGTTTTTAAAGTGGGATAACAGTGAGCCCAAAATGCCATGTATTATTATTATTAAAATATACCATTCCTTTAATTTCATTTGGTGTTCATTTTATGATTTCCTTTTGTTGTGTCAAGTGTTTGAGAGGCAGTGATTACTGATGACATGTTTTTTAAAAAAATGTCTCCTTGGATTTTTTACAAAGCTTTCTGAATCATTTAACGAAATACAATAAAGCTCTAATTGTACTTATGGTTGTTCACATGGAAATGTAGAGGGAATAAGTACATTGGCAATGTTGTTAACCTACCATCTCTGCTCTGCAATGAATGCGTTATTTTCCTTTCCTTTTTTCTCTTCTACATCTCATGTTCTGAACATTTGATATACACGCCAATAAGACAAATTTTGCTCCATTATTAGGTCACACTATTAATACAAATAATTGGAAAATTGAGCCTCTAAAGAAGATTTAATAAGATTAGACCGATGCACTAAAACCCAAGCATGAAAGCATTTCTGTAGAGGTTTTAATGAAATTTTCTCTGTCATATGCCAAAGTAGACGTCCTTTGTCATCTGATTGCTTTTTAAGAACAGGACGATTTCAGTAGAGTTAGTGTCTGCCAATGAGTTGCTCCTAAACTATGTAGCTTAGAATCTAATGTAATTATTTAAATATTGGTCCTCTTCTCAAGGGCCTATAATTTGGAAATTCAAAAAAATGTAAATGTGATATTCAAATCTGTACAGAAAAATAAAACAGGAATGTGAACGAAATGTTATAGGAAAATGAAATGTCACCTTATATATTGATTGAAATTCAGCTAAATGATTACTCTTTCAAGTCCAATGGACAGCACTTCATTTAGGGTTTAGGGTAAGGTTAATTTATTAACTGTATATATGTTTTGAATAGGACTAATGGAATATTTTATAGGTAAATTGTGCTTTTACTTTCTTTCAATGATGATATAAAGTTAACATTCTATCAAACAAAATATTATGGGAACAAACTTAATAGATAATCCTTTCATGGCATCAAATAGTACAAAGTTTAAGTGATGATTTTTCCTCCCTTAACATAATACATGTTCTTGTTACCTTGGACAAACTTAGCTTACAGCAGTTCAGGTTTGGAAAAGGAAAATGCCATCC